AACTGCTTCACTACTACGGAGTACCGCAAACCTTTATCAGCCTCATTCAACAACTATATGAAGATGCCACATGCCAGCCAAGTAATTCACAATGGGAAGCTCAGTGATGATTTTGAAGTGAAGACAGGAGTGAAACAAAGTTGCCTACTATCCCCCATGATATTCCTGATTGTGGTGAACTGGACTGGATCATGCAGCAAACAGTGGGCAGCGAGAAGAGGAGGATACACTGGACTGCGGAAAATAACCTAGAAGACTTGGATTTCGCCAGCGATGACTTGTGCCTGATGTCACACAAACTTGAAGATCTACAGACGAAAACTAACAAGTTGGTAGAAGAGGCAGCGAAGACGGGACTTCAAGTGAATATAGAGAAGACAGGTGTGATGAAGATACCGCACCAACAACTCCAACAACAACAACAAACTCCAGTCACCATCAATGGGAGAAACTTGAAGGAAGTAACCTCCTTCACCTAACTAGGAAGCACTGTTTCAACTACAGGCGGGACAGACGAGGATGTCAAAGTCAGAATCGGAAAAGCAAGACAAGCGTTCATTAGCCTGAAACCAGTGTGGAGATCTTCTGCACTCTCTCAGCATGTGGAACAACATCCGGATTTTCAACACCAAAATCAAGTCAGTGCTTCTGTATGGCTCAGAGACTTGGCGCGTCACGAAAGGGATTTCCAATAAACTACAGACATTCATCAACAACTGCTTACGCTCGCTACTGAAGATCAGATGGCCAGAATAGTCAGAATAAGCAACAAGGAGCTCTGGGAACGAACCAACCAAGAACCTATTACCCAACAAATATGCAGGAGGAAGTGGAGATGGATTGGCCATGCACTGAGAAGGCCGACTGAGGACATCACGGGTCAGGCCAGTTGCTCGAGTGGAATCCCGATGGGAAGCGACAAGTTGGACGTCCGAGGGTGACATGGAGGAGGTCGTGCGAGGAGAAAATGAGAGGTTGTGGGCTGTCGTAAAAGCAGGTTCAAAAGATCTCCGAGAACAGAGGTCACTGGAGACGTGCTACTGAAGCCCTATGTTCCACTAGGAACCCAAGGGACTAATAATAATACAGTAAGTGTGGACAATATTAGAAGGGCTAATGCATTCATTCCTGGGCGAAATATTCATCATTGAAGGTTTGGTGGATTTCATAAACCAAGCAATTTTTATTTGTATCTGCTGCCAGTTGTTGGTGAGCTGAAACCGTTACGTTCGGAAGACACTTAACAAAAATGTATTATTTGTGACAAACCTGCCAGATCAGACGTCACATTTACCAAGACATATCAGAAAGAGATATGAAAAACGTGTTCACGTCACGGCATACTAATGGATGAATGGTTTGTCCGAATGCTAATGCTGCCATTAGGACTGATGAAGTGTGATGATGACTACCATTGCTGCGTTTCAATCCTAGAACGTTTCCCTATTCATAAGGTGCCATGTTTTCCTATCGAGTATATGCATCTAGTGTGCTTGGGAATAGTTTGAAGACTCGCTGGCACATAGATATTTATGGCGATTTACATTATTGGTAGAATAAATGACCGGTTAATTCACTCCCAACGTTATGTTGTCAACGATCTTCAGCTGAAATACCGCAAACTAAACATCTTGGCCCAATCGATTACCAGTGAGGCTCAGTTGTTCTTATTGTACCTAAGTCCCTGACTGTTGGTTCGAGCCATAGAGGTAGGCGAAGACTACCTAGCTGCGGTCCCCGTGACGACAGAAGTCAGTGGTTGGAAACTCTTGGTGATGTGACCGAAAATCAGTCCCAGTGGTGCAGATGTGTTCACTCTTTGATGTCTTCTAAAGCTTGAACGTTCCTACTAAACTTGGTTTTTTGAATTCATGCCCCTCCCATACACCTTTATCTAATTTGATATGTATTTTTTTTCATCCAGTTCTTTTCATGTTGCTGTGAAGTGTGGTAAAATGGACAGTTGCGCTTGAGTGAGGTCCTACGCTGATTTCATCTGTCTGTCATTGTGCCGAGGTCCAGCTTTTCTTTTCGATATTTTGTTCGAGCGTTTTGGGCAATCTTCATCCCCTACCTACATCAATTTATGCTATATTCCACTATCATTATTGCAACGTTGTAGTCATTCAAACTGTAACAGTATATGCTCAGTTATGAGGGCCTATGCGAAGAAGTAGTTAAAAACGTATACGGACAGAAGCAAACTGCCATTGATATTACAGTCGACGGTTGTTTTCATTCATTTACGATATTGCTTTTCGAGTCTTCATTGACTAAGAAAACGATATGTTCAAAGAGAATTTAGAGTAGCTAAGCAGGAAGCATAGATGGAAGTAGAAACAGACATTTGTATGCCACCAATAGTTTTAAGCCATTAGCCGGATTAACGTTCTTCCGAATAGCGGTCAATGTGAAGAAACAGACCATGTACAGACCTTCAAGTTTTGCCACCATAGTCTGGTATCTGAGTTATAGTGAATCATGAACCATGAATTACCAGCGAAATCACCAGCAAAAAAGCATGATTCGATCCACGGCTTGCAAAGATGTAAGAGCTTTCTTTGTGAAACTGTGCTTGTCAACGATAATTAACTTCTTTAAATCTAATCAGTTCGTTGGTGACTGCGTTTGGATTTCAATTACTGACATCCGATATAAGTGCATTGCCGTGGGTACACTACACCCACGTGATCATGCTTCTTCCACATACATCATAGATGCATATGGATGTGAGATTTCAGACAGATGATACCTTACAGTGTTACTTATTACGCGTTAAAGTAAGCTTGATAATATAACTTCATTCTTTTCAACTGCAATCGGACGTTTCCGAGTGAAGTACTTAGTTATTTGTTGAGGTCCATGCTTCTACATCAGTAGGGTGTCTTGTGCCACTGCAGATGACTACCAGCAAAATGATCAGGAATATCCTAGAATTGACTGGACAACATATGCACGAGAAAAATTTTTCAATATTTACAAACCACCTACATATGTGAATACATATGACATCGAAGAGGTGAAGGCAAAGTTGAACCTACTGCAGTTGGAGATCAACCTGTGACCGAAGGTCAGTTTTCTACCTTTACCATGCCATGAACTACCAAGCATCACGTGCTGTATCTCTCAACAGTCACTTAACTGCCATTGCAGATTGCCTAAGAACGATTGCTTCACTGGTGATAGAGTCTTCCGAACATTTTCTGTGGTAATTTGTGAATGTTTGGCACTTTTTTCACCAACCAAATGCAATACATTGTACAAAAACCGGTTTTCGCTGGTCTCTTGATCAACAATAGGCAGTGAACAGGTTGAGCGTGCTGATCACTTGATTATTCACCTGACCTGAGAAGTCGGATCAGCTCTAGTGGGTGTGCATCAGTGACCGATAAAATATCTGCATCCATAGAACAGGATAGCTTGGTTTTTGTCAACCTATGGTATTTTACGCGACACGGCCATAAACAACCCTTGCAGTGAGCCTTCTGATAACGCACGTTACAAACCACTATACACGACTCAGTTCCTTTCGATCACCTACCAAACATAGTTGCCGTGAAACCTTGTTTGCTGCGTTGACGGAGATGCGAGGTATGTTTATGAACATGTTTACATAAAGAAATAAGGTCTTTGCAGAACACCTATCATGTGTCAACGAAGCTGTTAGCTAGTCTGGAGCTACAAAATCTTGCTGTGAGGTGATATTGAGCTGGATACTGAGCGTGAAATCAGTCTTCCGATGAAGAATGATTGCTTTGGAGACCTTTGAATAGAATTTGAAGAGCCATGGCTACTTTGAGAAAATGATGCTTCCTCCATAATACTTCCTCCAAAATGACGCTACCATGGCGACTAGCAAACTTGTTAGCTCCTAGAAGAATAGTGCGGTGCCACGTCAAATCACTTACAGGAGTACAGTTAACAAAATGGGGGTTCAAAACTGCGACTTTCACACTATGGCGATCGGTGAGTTGCTACATTTGGTTGTAAGTACTGTTATCTACTTTTTACATAGACGCGATAGTTGAAAAGTAAAAACACCTAAAGATGAGTAAAGAAGTTATAAAAGTAGTCACTAAAGTCACAAAGAACTGGTTTCATGACCAGAGGATGAGAAAAAAGGTGGAAGCATCTGACCCTAATTAAGAAGCCACTAAGTTTAAATTCCTACCTGCTTGTCTTCAAATAGTCTAGGAACTAAGTTCATTTATTTTGAACCATTAATCAGTAACAAACACTCCTCCAACAACACTAATATCAAACAATGCGATCAATTTTCATTGCAGAATTTGGTAGTGAACAACGAGGCGGATAGAATTCAACGTCAATAAGGTGTTGCGGTTTCAAGAAGCTCACTGGAGATGGCGAAAAACACATACTTGTACAGACTGTACAGTTCTTGGGACGAATTTTAAAACTAATTGCATCCTGAACATTTTAACCGGACCCCTATTATAAAAGTATGTTGTTATTACAGGCATTTTCGAATTTAGTGGTTTGTTCAGGGGAAAATTCCGTGTGTGTGAATAAGTGACACGTGTGAATTCAGGTAGAAAGGGTTCACTGAAAACGTGGAACACTAACGTATCCCCCATAGGAAAGCGTTTGTAGGAGACGTAGGCGTAAGTTCCAGCAAGAAAAAAGGAAACATGAGAAATTCGGGAAGCCAGAGGGGAAATGTTGAACTTAACCAACGTTTTCGCTATTCATACGATGACCTCATATCCCACATTTTGTACCCACAAATCCCATATACGTTATCTAAACAGTGAAGATGTGAGCCAGAGCACCAAGTACTCAAAAACTCAAGCATATTAATGCCTTGACAAATGTGTCTTAATTAGTCAAAACAATGCCAGAAAAAATGGAGGTAACAATTTTTTTTTAGGGCAATTTAGTCTAAGGAAATTTAATATTTAACCTAACATGTAGATCCCCAGTCTTAAGTAATGGTTCTTATAGTGTACTAAACAAAAACTCACAAGAATAAGCCCACTTACTTCACCTTTGTTTCCCCTCAAGTAAAATGGTGTGACGTCCAAATGATATCTTTGTAACGTACATACAGAAGTTCCCGCCAGATTTAATGCCTTCAGTAAGACTTCACTAATAAAGAAAGTACGCAAATTCGTCCTGTTTTATTGCTTTTATTGGGTATATATGTGAAGGGCCAATGCTTTTTTGGATGATTTTATCGAATAAGCTGATGGTTCTCGAAGTGAGTTCCAGTCGCTGACTCGTTTCGGTGAGATGCCTAAACTCACGCTACGGTGATTCGACCATGGGTGTTGAACTTCCTTGTAATGTTCTCAAAGATGGTTGGTCCCTGAGGGAGAGGATGAATAAGACAAATCAGTTCCAATATCATCGCTAAGGATACAGAATGTTAATATCAAGTCCTCTCCTCTCCTGTGATATGACAACTGGGGAAAGGATTACCACTCTTAACAGTCGTCATGGTATATTCTGTTCGGACCAGCCACCTATTTAGTGCCGAGTATACAAGCGCGTTTCAGCGCTTTAGCATCCCGTCAAAGAGGAGCTGGCCTCCTGAATGCAGGATTTGAGGTGGTGTCGCACAGACGTACGGTACAGTATGCGAAACAAGCCTTCATCGAACTATTTGAATTAGAAACAGCGATACTCGGAACGCTTTTTCTCCGACTTCAGCGCAATATACAAACGTCTACTAAATGTCACTGGCTGTAACTCCCAAGCCTTTAGTTTCTTGGTTGTCAGGTCCTACATTTAGATATTGATGGGAGCTATCACGAACTCCATGTCTGACCAAATGAATAGCTCATTAGTGTCGTCTACAGTGCACACCTGCCGCCATCCCTACCAAAGAAGAGGACTCGCGATTGCTCCTAGAGGAACCCCACATCACACAGGTTGCCAGTTAGACAATGTTTCATTCACAGATCAAACGTGCTAACCACGCAGAATCCTCTGCCGAAGTCAACGAACATAGCATCTTCTCGTCACGAGCTCTCACGCGTTCCTTCTTTGGTAAGAGATGGCCAGTCGAGCAAGGCTGAGCGGCGTGAAACTCATGTCGTAGAGATGTGAGAAGAATATCATTTTCGGCACGACTGACCGCTCTGTAGCTAATATTCTTTTTGAACGCCGGAATGACTAAGGTGGCTAGGCCAGTGGAATGACAATTCGGTTCTACTACCCTGCTTCCTGCCATGAAAAAGGCCAGTTACGGTTTCTTTTCTGCCTTTAGGAATCCCAGTCTCAAGTAGGGCCATACCAAATAGTTCAGTGGGCGGTCTGGTAACTATGTCTGAGAGGAAAGACAATATTCCTGAATGCAAGCCATCAGGACCAGGGGTTTCACGGATCTAGTCTACCTCACTAGCCGAAGGGCTTACTATCTTCTGACCTCCGCTCAGCTCATTTTTCGGAAACGTTTGGTAATGCTGGTCTTAGTGATAACGCCTCCTTCTTCTGAGGGGACTAAACTAAAATGGTGGGGGAGAAATTCAGCCTTAGAGAGATCAAACTCAGTTGACCTATCGGAATTCTCGGTCGTTGATGGAGACGAGACTTCACCCCTACTTTTAGTCCCTTTGACATATCTGAACAAACTGCCTAAATAGGTCTGACAACCATTCACGAACTACTTTTCGTATTTTATTTCGGAACCCGAGCAAGATGATCTGTACATTCGTGACTTCGCAGTTCGCAGTCTTAAACACCTTGCCGCCCCACACAGTCCTTCCTCCTCGCTTTGGAAACTTCGCGATACTCTGATTGGCCCCTGAACAGTGATGAAAACCCCTACCTGGAAATGACCACGAGGTAAACGGTCGAGTTGTATCATCGAACGTAACCGCAAACCTTCCCAGTTCTCCTTCGGGATGTTGTTATCTGCAGGCCAGTCTAGTGTAGCTTCACAGTGTTTGATGACTACCGTGTCCGCATGTTATAAATTCTGTCTAGGAAGGAACCATGACGTTAGTCGTATGTACAAACTTGAAAAACATGACTACGTGGTCGCTACTGGTTGATGTTAAACAGTGCTGGGGGTCGGTGTGAAAATACCGAACTTATGAGTTGTGGTTCGTGCTTGGGATCAAACTGCGTCGCACAAGTAATGTTTCTGATAACGGAAACCTCTAGGATTGACATAAGTTGGTCTCCATCGCAGAGGTCTTTATTCTCCGGTTGGAAGGCCAGTAGTCGGTCGGCATTTGTTATTCATTGCAGTATTTGTCTTATTGGCGATCCAGCTTTCCTATAATATGTTCTCTAGTGGAACTGCTGACGACTGTTTCGCCATGGATCACCCTGTGAAAAACTAGTACTTCACCCACAGATAACTTGGTCACGATCACCGTATAAGCCCCAAAATGAGCAGGTAGGATGCAGCAATCAACCCATTATATTATTGAAGACATATGCGGACTAAATCAGATAACTACTTTACCAGAGATTTCAAGGAGCCTGGCTGGGCAGATGGGGAGTTATTTTCGAGTTCCCTAAGGCTATTGCTGCTGCGCGTGACAGGTAAGAGGATGGTAATTTTCCTCAGTGCAGCCCATCTGCAGCAAACCCGACAAAAGGCTTCTGTCTTCACTGGTGGTCGGGCTTGCATATCACAATGACCTGGCCATCTACCCTGGGGAAACTCTTGTTCCCTCGAGGTCCTACCACGACAGAAAGGTCTGTCAGATTGTAACAGGCCGAAAATCGGCTGCCGTCACAGTGCAAATTACTTCAATATGGCTTGGGTATGACGGCGAAGTTCCGCTGCTACTGGCTGGATGGGGTTTGGCAGCGGTAAGACCTTTCCCGGATAACCAGCTGCGCCGCACTGATTCATGCCTTCCCTTTACAGCGACGGGTTAGAAAAGGCAAGTCCTCAAAATGGCGCACTCCAACATGCTCCAAGGTCTTCCAGTGCCGGTGGTATGAGTGCTCTCTATCTGGTATTCGACTAACGGGCCTCAAGACAACAACTCACAAAAGGTCATGTGTGACAGGCCCCCAGCAGACGTCACATGAGCCCTGCAGTCACACAAACCCATCCCTTCCAAGTACCTTAGGAAGAAATGGCCTTTCACGGTGTGGACAGCCGGGTACTACCAACTACCCTCACGCCCCCAGTAGTACGAAAGACCCAATCAAACACAACCGGCCCTCACTAACTAATTATCCTCCTTTGCCTTAACATCCTCACGCTACCGTTAGACCTCCCAGACCCTGCCCAAACTCTTGCCCTGCCGCCACTGTCAACGGCCAAGGCTGGTAAAATCTCATTCATAGTCTCCTGAGAACCCACCATCGATTTCTTGTAGGACTCTACTCCACAACTCTACCGAACTGGACACTAAGAATCTGTCACTACAACTCTTGAGCCTTTAAATGCGGATGGGTGCTGTTCCTGGGACAAGCATCCGGGACCTAAGCATCGTCATTAAATTAGTCCGACCTGAAGGGTGCGGCGAATCTCCCGAATTCACCCTGCGAGTATCCGGAGACCCAACGGCCATCTCTCGAAGACTTGTCGGCATAGACAAAGTGTTGAGCCGTAGGGCAGGAAGTGCGCTTGTCAAGTGGTTGCCGGTAATTAGCCATCCATGTATTGTTCCACTGAGTGGATGTGCAAAGGCTAGGAAGGATCGTAAGATCCATCGGTGCCCATTCTTAATATCTGCTTACGTATCAACCGACTGTAGCCCAGGTGATCCAAAGGATAAATGCAATGCAAAGCCATCGATTGCGCTACAGAAGGCAAAACTTTCAGATATACTCTTGATGGCAGATAACTCTAAAGCTCAAGTAAGGAAGCTGAGGCAACTGAAGAGGCATCTTGATGGGTAATTACGTAGTCCCATGCCAACGAACCGACAACACTGATCACCTGTTGCAGTTTTGTTCTGACTATCACTTATCCCTGGTCAGCTGTGACTTCAAGCATAGGGAGAGACACTGTCACACATAAACGGGAGACGGACATAGGTAGATCACATTGCTATAAGCCAACTATCGTTGGAGACGATCGATCTAGGATCGCCACTCTTTCTGGACTACAAGTATGGACTCTGACCACGTGCTACTGCGAGCTCGTGTATGTTTGCACCTCAGTAGTTGCAGGGAACAGGCGATGGCAAAGCCTGTCTACAGTCGGTTAAACGATGAGAACGTCAAGTTCGAATTCAGGGGAGAGATAGCTAAGCATTCATCTGGACACGACAGCAATGCTCCCCCTGTGTAAACCTGTTGTGATATTAGATGTGTTGTACAAACAGAGGTGAAGACAGTTGGTAGCATAGACTCGAAGGCTAACAAACCACATCGGATTTCAGCGATATCATACTAACTGATTGATGCAGTAAGACAGATTACAGCTGGCTGGCTCTGACTATGATAAAGAGCGAAAGCAACTGAATCGCAAGTTGACCAATGGTCTTCGCGTTGACCGCAAGGAGTGGTGGGTTAGTGGTAAAACAGAGATGAAGAACGTATGAGCACTGTGTAAAACACGGCAACTATTTCCGCTTATTGAAGATAACGGCAAGAAGAATACGACTGTTAGTGAAAACACCACCGGAGTGAGTGGGACGCCGGAAAACCCTCAGGAAAGACGGCTGCAACGATCGATGGAACACTTCGTAGCAAAGTTCCAAAGGACTTCAGTAACACTTCTGCGAAAGCAACAGTAAAATAAGCGTAATGCGGTAGGATGTAATTCCAATTTTATTGATTTATTAGGTTTATCACACAGTGTAACAGTGTTGCCTACTGCATTACGTTTCGGACATAATTTGTTGCTCATAGTCATGTCAAGATAACTACACAACTTTGAGATATCCGT